CGAACTCTTGGCAGAGTACACAGCTTTCTGTTTTGAAAGTAATGGCCTCATGTCCCTCGTGAACAAGTCCTGTTAGAGATCAAAGCAATCTTTCATAACCTTGTTTTGATGAGTTAAGGGAAAATGAACCAGAAACATGAGGATTAAGTGTCCCTTAAAACTCTCCTTGGGATGTAAATACTGAGAAGAACATGTTGGGCCAAACCATGTATGTATGGGATTTTATCAGACCCCAAACGTGGGGGAAGCAGAGTAAGGCTTCTGACAAATTGAGGTGCGTCTGGGTTTGCCTCTATCTAATTGGTCTGTATTACGATCCTTAAGGGGGGCTCATTATGGAAAGGGCACCTGTGTTTTCCCGGGCTGGGGGTAGGGGACTCCCACCGACAGAGCTTAATTGCTCCAAATGGACCGAGTGTAACCATCTAAAATTTAGGTTGTTATTTTTCCTTTAAACTACTTATCACATGAAATGATTCTGCATTGTTACAGGTGTCTCTTAGGGCTCCAAGCATATGAGAAACAATGATTTTATGATGAGCAAAAATCATTTTACATAACATCAATAAAAACACAGCTGCCTCAAAGGTGTATCTATGACATAGGTAACATCAAAGAGGAATGCTAACTCGTTCTGTTTCCTTTTGATTTTCTATTTCCAAATATCTTAGTATCTGATCTGAAACATTTATCCTGCAATTCTTTGCAGCTCCAAATCTACATTTATTCAAAAGAATATCCGTATAAGATAGAATTGGGGGGTGGGGGTGGCAAAGAAATGATCGTCTATGAGAGGAAATATAGCTTGGGGATAATCTGTCTCTTAAATGTGCAATGATTGTATGACCATAGAGGAAATTGTTTGTTTGTTTTTACTGACATGAAATTCACATAACATATACTTAACCTTTTTAAAGTGAATAGTTGAGTGGCATTTAGTATATTCACAGTGTTGTGCAACCACCACCTCAGGCTGTCTGCAAAACATTTTCATTACCCCCAAAAGAAACCCATTTCCTAGTAAGTGGTGGTTCCTCAATCCTTTCTCTTCCCAGCTCCTGGAAACTACCCTCTGCTATCTGCTTCTGTGGACTAACCTCTTCTGGATCCATCATATTACTGAAATCATCTAATAAGTGATGATTTGTGTGGTGGCTTCTTTCACTTGGCATATTTTTGAGGTTTATCCACACTGTAATGTGCATCAATGCTTCATTCCTTTCTGTAGGCTGACCAACATGCCACTAAATGCACATACCACATTTGTTTACCCATTCGCCCACTGGTGGACATTGGAGTTGTTTCTCCCTTTTGGCTATTGTGAATAGTGCTGCTGCAAATGTGTATAAACATGCGTACATGGCACCTGTTTCTGATCCTTTTGGGTACATACGTCAGAATGTATAGGAATGGAACTGTTAGGGGTGCCTGGGTGGCTCAGTTGGTTAAGCGTCCAACATCGGCTCAGGTCATGATCTCACCGTTCGTGGGTTTGAGCCCCGTGTCGGGCTCTGTGCTGACAGCCAGCTCAGAGCCTGGAGCCTGTTTCGGATTCTGTGTCTCCCTCTCTCTCTGACCCTCCCCTGCTCACACTGTCTCTCTCTCTCTCAGAAATAAATAAAACATTTCAAAAAATTAAAAAAAAAGGAATGGAACTGTTAGAAGACCAGCTGATGCTAGAAGGAGCTGTGGCTGTACTCCGCATGTCTGGTTTTTTCCCCAGCACCGTAACATGCCCAGGTAACCACACAGCTGTAGATTCTCTTGGTCTCCTACCAGGGGATCCATCACCAGTTCCATTGAATTGGAACTAAGACTGCTAGCTGGCATTTCAATGCCCTGAGGCCTTGAAAGCATAAGAAAAAGAGGTCACGGTGATCACTGGAGGGCTAAGCTGCCTACCAAGGGCGGCTGCAGGGAGCTACTGTACAAAGAGTGGTGTTCATGGAACCTGGGGTCATACCCTTTAGGGTGTCTGTTCGTACTGCCTGCCCCATCGTCAAGGTTAACAAAGGACTACATCAACTCCATATGGACGGAATCAAGGAGTCACACTCCTCAGGACTATAGGTCAGGGTCACCCGGGCAAGACAAGAATCTCAACCGACTGAAGTGCTGGCAGAAGGCAGGGGAAGTGTGGAGCAAAATGCGTAGTTATTCAACCAACCTTAGTCTTTTTTCTTTTTAATTTCTTTATTTTGAGAGGGAGAGTGGGGGAGGTGCAGAGAGCAAGAGAGAGAGAGAATCCCAAGCAGGCTCTGTGCTGCCAGCACAGAGCCGAACATGGGCCTCAATCCCACCACCCTGAGTTCATGACCTGAGTGGAAACCAAGAGTCAGATGCTTGACTGAGCCACCCAGGTGCCCCTCAACCAACCTTATTCTTATGATCAGTTGCAGAAAAGCAGACTGACATCTTTAACAGTATTTCCCTGCATGCTGCTTGTATGTAACAGTTTCCTTGATTTTTTACACTCCTCAATATATGCCACCCCAAATGAAAACATGAAAACATGTCTACAAAAACTTGTACACTTACATTCATAGTAGCATTATTCATAATGGTGAAGAATGGAAACAACCCAAATATCCATCAACTGATACTTTAATAAATAAATTGTGGATATCGATACAATACAATGTTATTCAGCAATCAAAATGAATGAATTACATTAAGAATAGAAAAAAGACATATCCCAGATGAAATAGAAATGAGAAAAAATCATAGGGGAATCTGTTGCACAATTTTATGTCAATAAATTTGGAAATGTAGATGAAATTGCTAACTTTCTAGAAAAAATATTTCTCTGAAACTGAATAGGAAAACCAAATGAAACTATTTTAGCATAAAAAAAAGTGATTTGACAATCAAACGGTCATACCTCCCAACCACCTGCCAAAAAAGACACTAGTCTTAGATGACTTAGTGAATTTTACCAAACCTGTAAGGAAAAGATAATCTCTATCCTAGGTAAGCTATTACAGACGATAGAAAATAACAGCGGGCCACTTGATTTATAAAGCTACTGTGGGCTTGACACCAAAATAAAATCAGGACAGTACAAGTGTAGACATACCTCATTTTCTTGCACTTCACAAATACTGCCTTTATATATATATATGTATAAATTGAAGGTTTATGGCAACTCTGGGTTGAGCAAGTCTATTGGTGCTATTTTCTTCAATAGCATTTGCTCACTTCCTGTCTCTGTGTCTCATTTTGGCGATTTTCTCAGTATTTCAAACATTCTCATTATTGTATTTGTTATGGTGATGTGTGATCAGTGATTTACAACTCACTGAAGGCTCAGATGGTGGTTAGCATATTTTCACAATAAAGTATTTTTTAATAAAGGTATGGGTTTTTTTAGACATAATGCTGTTTCACACTTAATAGACTGCAGTATAGTGTAAACATAACTTATATGTGCTGGGAACTGAAAAATTCACTTGACTCACTTTAATGTGATATATGCATTATTGTGGTGGTCTGGAACCACGTTTCTAGTATCTGTGAGGTGTGCCTGTGCAAGAGGAAAAAGTGTAGAGTAATATCACTTATAAATGTAGACCAAAAGACTTAAATATATATTAGCAAATTAAATCCAGCCATATATATTTTTTAAATGATCATTACTAGTTTTGGTCTATCCCAGGATTATGAGAACATCAGAAAAATCCATCAGTGAAAGTTCACCATGTATTTCAGATTAAAAATAAATAATAAAACATATCTTGTTCTATAAATTTAATACACACTCTTATCTAAAAGAAAAACTCTTAGGAAAAACTAGAAATAGAAAGGAACTTCCTTACTCTGATAAAAGGAGTTTTACCAAAAACCTAGAGCAGTTATGTCACATACTTCTGGAATATTCCCATTAAAAGCAAGGACAAGGCAAGAAGGGTAATTATCACTGCCACAATTCAACCTTATACAGGAAAGACTAGGTAATGCGTTAAGAAGAAAGGATGGAAGGAAGGAAGGGAGGGAGGGAGGAAGGAAAAGAAAATGTATGCAGTGTGGAAATGAAAAACTACTTTTGGGCATAGAAAATGCATAAACATCAACAGATGAACTATTGGAGGTGATGAAAAGAATTCAGCAAGGTTGCTAGTTAAAAGAGCAATATATAAAATTCGGTGTTTCTTTGCCTATGTTTCAGCAACAACAAATTTTTAAAAAATCAAATTGAAAAAAATCAGTGAATTCACAATAGCAGCAAAAACTAAAGAAACTAAGGAATACAGAGGCGCCTGTATTCCCAAGACTGCTTCCAGGCCAGAGTAGAGCATGTGACTCATGCCGGCCAATCAGACGACACCGGAGGCTTCAGGTGGAAGTGAGGAAGTAGTCTCTCTGCCTCTGTGGAGCTGGATGGGCCAAGGTGGTGCTGTTCTAGATCTGATAGCAGATTCCTGAAAGAGCTAGTTTGTTCTGGGAGTGTTCCTTCCATTGAGGCCGAGGCATCTTTTCCCATCACACCCAAATTTACAGTCTCTTGTAAATTTCTTTTCTGCTTAAACCGGTCGGACTGGATTCTGTTCTTTGCAACTAAGAGCAAGAACTGATATAGAACCCCACCTTGGACCTGAAAACATCTTCATAATGAAATATACCATAATCAAAATTAGAGATAATAATACTTTTTAAAAAATCATTGGAGAAGAGATTTGTGAGATCCATAACAAAATAATTCATAAATATGTTTATTTTATCATATACTTTATATCTAATGGAGAAAGCATCTAAATAAATAAGAGAATGGAAACACCCCAGTAGAGAAGTGGGAGAGAAATAAGAATAGGTAATTTTCTTTTTTTAAAATTTATTTTATTTTTTTTTATTTTTGAGAGCAAGAGATCACGAATGGGAGAAGGCCAGAGAGAGAGAGAGGGAGACACAGAATCAGAAGGAGGCTCCAGGCTCTGAGCTGTCAGCACAAAGCCCGATGCGGGGCTCAAACCCACAAACTGTGAGATCATGACCAGAGCTGAAGTCGGAGGCTTAACCGTCTGAGCCACCCAGGCGCCCCAAGAACAGGTAATTTTCAAAAGTGTAAACCCAAATGCCTTTATTATATATTTTTTCTCATTTAAAAAGTTACATAAATAGCATTATGGTTTTCATATTCTGTAAATTTTTTCACTTGAGGAGAGCATTTATGAGAGTTCAGTTGCATCTTGAGTGCAAAAACTTGTAGAATATGAACACCACAATCGTATTTACATAAGATTTTTTAAAAAGCAACATTATATACTATTGATGATGATATTAAAGTGCAAAAAAAAAAAGGTGAGAGGCTGGAAGTTTCTACAGTAAGCTATGACAGTGATGTTTGGTGGTAGAGAGAAAGGTCACTGAGTGTGTCAGTCAAAGAACACCAAAGATTTACTTGCGTTTTATTTCTGGGGGAAAATGTTGGCAGTTGTTAATGGTCAGTCTGGATTCTTCTACTCCATTTCCCTCACATTTACATAGAAATTACCATTTGTTACATGTGCTCTCTCTTTTCTTCTTCTTTTATAAAATGTAAGAAAGACAAACTCACCATTTCATCTGTCCATTATAGGATATTGTGATAACATGATGAGAGAAATAACGACATACTCAGTGTATGTAAATTACAGAGGGAAACTCCATGTTGAATACCCGCCAAAAAATAAGCTTAATAAGTAAATTTCTGTAGCTTTATTTTCAGTTCAGTTTTAAATTATACGTGGACTTCATCTTTGTGAAATAAAGATAAAAGACCATGAAGATTCACTAATAATGATTTTAGGTCTTTAAAAATAACGAATGGTTTTTTTTTTTCTGCTGGCACTGACATGTTCTTTTAACCTATTCTGTACTTCTGTGTGGTCATGAATCCAAGCCCCCCAAAGGCACAACTGACATGTGCTTGTCATTCACAGGCCAAGCCACAGGATGCCACTGTTGCATTTGTGCAACAGTATAATAGACTTCTACTTAAGTTGAGATGAATAAAGAAAGGGGGAAAAAAATCTCTTCTGTTATAAACAGACACATGATAACTAGTGAAGTTTTAAGATTCAAATCTTACTAGTTCTAATCTTTTAAATCCCTTTAAGTTGGATTTTAAATACCACATGCTGAAATCACCTGAGTCTTTTAATGATTACAGTCCAGAATCACACAAAAGCAAATTATTTTGGAACTGTTAAAAAAAAACAAAACAAAGCACTTGAGCACACACAAATGCTTAGAACAAAGTCCTCTGAGAGTTAAATTTTCAAAAGTAGTTTCTATGCCAGCTACCTGGGGTCCGTTGCTATATTTATATTCATGAGATCTCAGTGATATGTTGCTTGCTAAAACAAAAAACAAAAAACAAAAAAAATATATTCACGAGTATTAAAACCTAGCTAAAATTATTTGTTTTTTAATGGGAGCAGCATATTTTTGAAATCAAACTGTGGGGTAAATCAAGTAATGGGTTTTCCTTTAACTTACCCAAAGGTACTTTATTTCATTTCTATTTGATCCACAATTGATAATGATACTTGACACTTTAAAATTTCTTTCTGACCCCATCCTAGACTCTAACAAGTAATTAAAGGTTTATAAATGGACAATTACAGGTCCCAGAGAAACTGATATTTAAAGGGAAGCATTCCTTTTGTCTTATGAGTCCATAAATTGTACAGAAAGGCATTCCCAACATAGAATACATCCTATTAAGAAGTTATGAATATGTGGTCTATGCATATAGGAAATAAATTGTGATCCCTCAAAGAGACTGTAGTCTAATTAGGGACACAGGACACGTCGTGTAAAAAAAGAAAACAACGCCATTAGGAATATGAAGGGCCAGAATAGTTTAAAGTGCCCAGTTCTGAAGAGAAGAGTCCCCAAGGACTTGAACGGCCAGGAAGGGCTTTGGAGGAGGCAGAACTCGTGATCATCCTTCTCAGTGTCACCTCCTCACAGAGTCCCCTGTCCTCTACCTGGCCCAGCCTTCCCTCTGGCGACTCAGTCAGTTCTTGCCTTCTGAAGATTTCCACAGCTCTCTGCACATGTGCTTGGTCATAACTCTCAACAATTGTTCATTTCTGCATTCGACAAATACTAGGCACAGTGCATACGACCAACATGGTCCCTGTCCCTGGAGCTTCTGGTCTAACAGGCATGGCCATTATTCCCTCACTCGGCTCTCTCTCCTATGGGCCTGTGACCTATGCAGTGTCCCTGGCGGGGGGACAGAGCAGATTGCGAATAAGCTTGGTTACATGAATGGTGTGCCAGGATGGGGCGGAGGCCAGAAGATCGGAAGTTAGCAGAGTTGTCCAGCCAAGGGGTGTTGGCAGAGAAGGGACAGTTAAAGAAGGCGAAAAAGCAAAAGAACATGGTGTGCCCCACGAGCAGTGAGGGAGGGGACGAAGCCGAAACGAACTCCCAGGATGGCTTTATGTAATAGGCTTGTTTGTTTGCGTGTTTCTTCACCCGTGGCATTGGCCTCCTTTTTCTGTAACAGAATGAACCATGTGCCAGCCTAGTTTTTGGGAAATAAGTTTGCCTCAATCTGCAGTAAACCGTGATCCTGCTATAAAGGGCAGGCCCTTGAAAGATCAATGCGGAGTGGCCCTCGGTCCGTTCTGGGCAACGAGCTCAGCAAGGAGACAGCAGGCCGCTCGAGGTGCCTGAGCCAGGATGCCCTGGTCCCAGCTCTTCACGCCACAGGCCTTCGCTGATTTAGAGTTCGAGGCAATTCTTAGGGGGTCAGCGTGACTCATAGGAGCAGGAGAGCAAAGTGATGGGCTAAGCAGTTATAAGGTCATAAATTGTGAAACTTAACTAAAATAGCTCAAGTCTGAATGCAGGATATTGGTTGCCTGAGCAACAGAGAGGTTAAAGTGGCAATAAATTTCGGCCGGTCTTCTCAAATAGAGCTGTTCCCACTTTACGACAGGGTGACACAGCACCTCTGTGCTGGCTGCCACCCACACTTCGGCATGGAGAAATTATCAGCAAGTTCGTATCAAAGGAAAACTGACGACCGTGACCCAGGTCCAAGGCCCGAGCAGAATGAGATCTTAATCTCGGACAGTTTAGAGAACAGAAGGCGCGTCCTAATCTCTGCCCTTCCCAATCAGGCGACCTGTGGGCGGCTCACCCTGCCTCCCAGAACCGCAGGCTCCCTCTTCAAGAAAGAGATGCTAGAAGGCTCCAGTGAACTGACATTCATGAGAACACTCCTAAAACAGGAGAGGATGCTACCAAAAAAAAAAAAAAAAAAAAAGGGTGGTGCTGTCTCTCAAAGAGGAAAAACAAAATTAGTTGGGGAAGAACATCAATAAAGCTATAACATCTTAATAAAAAATTTTGTTCAGCTGGGTAAGATCATCTGAACAAATCCGCACACCTCTAACAACTGTAAACAGTCATCTTACGTTCACACTCATACTTGACCGGCAGAGACCCAGTGTTCGGGGTGAGGGAGACGTTTTTGGCAAGGCCCTGGGTGGAGACTCTCCGTGCCAGAGTCCTTCTCCTCGGTCGTTTTCCAGTGTTTGAATAGTTTTGCTTGCGCCCCGCCTGTCCAGATGCCTCCGTCACTCAGTGGTGCCTTTCTCACCCCACACTGCTTTGGACATTCTCTCTCTTTTTCTCTCTCTCCCTTCCCCCCTCACCCCCCCCCCCCACTTCTGCCTCTCAGCCCGCACATGAGTTCTGCTTCTAGCTAGATCGACTTCCTCTCTCGTATGCATTCCTCACTGTCCTTCTCTCCTTGAAGACCAGGCCAGAGTATCGGCCACCCAGTGACATCCACCCCCATATAAACCGCCTTTGCTGTATGGTTGTGGTGTTATCCAGCTCTCTGTCCCTCAATAGACTGCGAGCTCTTTGAGGAAGGCCCAGGAGGGACCATGTTTATTGCTGATTACACCACAGTCCCTGAGAGTCCACTTAACACAGGTTGACTGAAGAGGAGGGGGAGGGCAAAGGAGATGCAAATGGCAGTGAGCTCTTATCCCTCTGATATGTGCCACAGGACTTAGCATAGTGCTAATCTCCAAACATTCCTTGATGAGACCACTTCTCTTTGGTCTGTAAGAACTTGGGGACACATGTGTATTAGGGAGCTACCAAACATGTGGAGTGGATGAGGTGTGGGGCCAGGGAGGACCCTGAGGCAGACAAGGAGGGAAGCCAGTGGCTGCATTCTCTCCCTTCTCTATACCCTGAGACTTGGAGGACAGGGACAGGTGTGGGGAACACTCACATCTAAAGATGATCAGCGCATCTAAAGATAGCCGTGGAACACAGTAATCTGTGTCCAACAAATGACTGATTTCACCCTTCTTCTGTCCCAGATGTAACAAGGATTCAAAGACCAACACCTCTGACTTCTGTGTCACACAGAATCCACATCAGCAAGCCACATGAGGAAGGCTTTCAAAAGATCGAAGGAAATGTGACTCCTTGCACTTGTTGAATTTTGTCTTCATGGCCTTTAGTGTATCTTCATTTGTGAAATGGCTATTCAAGTCTTGCACATTTTATTTATTTTCAAAAAATCTTTAATGTTTGCTTATTTTTGAGAGAAAGAGAGACAAAGCATGAGCGGGGGAGGGACAGAGAGAGAGGGAGACACAGAATCCAAAGCAGGTTCCAGGCTCTCAGCTGTCAGCACAGAGCCTGACGCGGGGCTCGAATCCATGAACTGTGAGATCATGACCTGAGCCAAAGTCAGACACTTAACTGACTGAGTCACTCAGGTGTCCCTATTTATTTTTTAATGTTTATTTATTTTTGAGAGAGAGAGAGAGAATGCGTGAACAAGAGCAGGGGAGGGGCAGAGAGGGAGACAGAAGATCCGAAGCAGGCTCGTTGCTGACAGCAGCGAGTGAGCCCGATGTGGGGCTTGAACTCATGAACTGTAAGATTGTGACCTGAACAGAAGTCGGATTTTTAATCAACTGAGCCACCCAGGCACCCCAAGTCTTGCACATTTTAAAACTGGATCGTTCATCCCTTTCCTGTTGATTTATAAATTCTTTGAGTTCTTTATATATTCTGGGTTCAAGTCCTTTGTCAGATTTTTGTGCTACAAATATTTTCCCCAGCCTGTGCAGGCTCCTCTGTTCATTTTTTAAGCAGTGCCTTTTGATGAGCAGAAATTCCTACTTTTGATAATGTCTAAGTTACTGGCTTTGTTCTTTGATGATTAATGGTTTCTGGGTTCTATCTGAGAAAGCTTTGCCTACCACAAGATCATAAAGATAGAGTCTTATATTTTCTTCCATTAGCTCATAGTCTGGATTTTATATTCAGGTCTGTAATTCAGCACAAATTAATTTATATTTGTGGAGTGAGGTGGGGTTGGGGGTTTATATTTTTCCAGATGATGTCTGCTTTTCAGCAACATTTGTGAAAAAAACCTTTCACCATTGGACTGACTTGGCAAAATTAACTAACTTGGTTAAAATTCTATCGACTGTATATGGGTGGATCTGTTTCTAGAGTTACTCACCTGTGATTTTTGAGCAACATGCTCACCTAGAGAGTGGGCCTTTCAAGATTTCTTCATGCTGGAGTTTTATTTTGAAGAGACTAAGAAAGGGCGCCTGGGTGGCTCAGTTGTTTAAGTGGTTCAGCATATAACTCTTGATCTCTGCTCAGTCGTGATCTCACGGTTCGTGAGATCGAGCCTCATGCTGGGCTCTGCACTGATGGTGCAGGGCCCACTTGAGATTCTCTATCTCCTTCTCTCTCTACCCTCCCTGGCGGGCAGTCAGTCAGTCTCTCTCTCTCTCTCTCTCTTTCTTTCTCTCTCTCTCTCTCAAAATAAATAAATAAATAAACTTAAAAAAATAAAGAGACTAAGGAAGAATTCTTGTTTTGAGAAAACAAAGCACAACATGTTGTTGAATTACAGTTCTTTGGGGAAAAATATTTTCAGACACCATAAGTAAGCAACGTGGCAGGCATAAATTTTCCTCTGCAAATAAAATGAAGGACACATATGTTTTATTTTCTTGAATTAAAATCCAATTTGTCTTTAAGGCCTTGTACCTCCATGCTGGTAAAAAGATCATTCTAAGTCTTTCCTGAGATTTCCCCCTCCCTGTGGGGGCAAGAGAATCTTTTCTCAGGAGGTTGAAAAATGATGGGAGAAGAAGGGGGCAGGGTGAGAAGCAGGACCTTTACTCTCTTGTCCGTTAAGAGGACAATGATATCCCTAAGAATCAAGGCTGAACAATCCCTTAACGGTGAGCTGGAGTGTTATAGAGGTTGGGGTTCATTTTTTCCCATATGGGTATCCAGTTGGTCTGGCTCCTCTGCCAGATGGAACACAGAGATCTCTGAATAGGCTGGGAGTCTCTGAACTTCCATAGACTTCCTCTTACTGGGGTTCCCCTCAGATGCTCTATCTACCTGTTAGCTTCTATGGAATATGGCGGGGGATATCTGATATTTTCACCTGCCTGGTATATTTCTCTTTCTTCCAGCCGCTGCACTTTAATCTCTCTTTGGGAAACCACTCCTCCCACCCCCACCCCACCCCACCTCACCCCCAGAATATATGTGGTTAATAAGTGATTGCCTCAGCTCCTGACCTAAGATTTAAGCCAATCTGAAACAATGAAAGTCAGCCCCTGGGATTCCTCTGTGGGAATTTCTGTCTGTTGGGCTTCGACTTGGTGCCCTGTAGACTCTACTTAGTGGATTACCCTACAGGGAAAGAATCTGACTGAGAATGAAGCTAGCGCAATAAGCAGCCAGGCCAGGTGAGAGATCCAAACACATCAAGTCCTTCTGAGCAACAGGGTTCAGCCGTGCCTGAAGCCAGATCCACAATTTCATGAGCCATTAAATTCTCCTCACCTGCCTGCCTTTTTATTTTTTTTTTTAATATTTTTTTTATTTATTTCTAGGAGAGAGAGAGAGAGACAGCATGAGCAGGGGAGGGTCAGAGAGAGAGGGAGACACAGACTCTGAAACAGGCTCCAGGCTCTGAGCTGGCAGTCAGCACAGAGCCTGACGCGGGGCTCGAATCCATGAACCGCGAGATCATGACCTAAGCGAAAGTCGGACGCTTAACCGACTAAGCCACCCAGGCGCCCCTCCTGCCTGCCTTTTTAAATTGGAGTCTATAATAGCAGTGAAAAGAGTCCTGATGTACCACAACCGCTCTTCCTAATCCAAGGCTCTCTCCCTTCTTTTCCACACAGATACTACTACTAAGCCCTCAAGAAGAGCAGTACCCAGGAAGTGGTTGTCTTGAAGGAGTCCCCACTTTCTTACCTGCCATGCTGACTACCTTCTGGGAATAAGGGTAAGGAAAAGTCAAAGGGAGGATAAGCATAAATTAGTGTCTCAAAGGAGTCAGACTGCCACAGAGATCTCTTTCTCTGTCCTGCTTTCTTATCACTGATAAATTTTCTTGCCTTCCTTTCCTATCCATTTGCTCTTCCTCCCCAGTAGTCTTGTTTCTAAGCAAGTTTGTGCCCAATACTGTTTGGAATCATAACACATCGCCTCAGCCCTTGGAAAGCTCAGGTGTAATGAAGGAGAATTGGGAGCCAGGACAGAATAAGTTAGGGAGCCTGGATCTAGAGGACAAAGGGCAGAAAAAGTCAACACTTTGATTCTGAAGCAGGTGATGATGCCATTGGATGAGTCCTTCATGGGCGAGGAGGGGGCTGGCTTGGATAATGGGGAGATAGTCAGATGAGAGCCCTCTAAGCTCCGGATTCTGAAGGAGAAGACTTGAGGGTCCATTAAGTTATAGAACGCTTTTTGTTAAACAAAGCCTGAGAGGTGATCTAATCTGACGCAGGTAAATCCTTTTATTTCTTTTAAGTAAAATTAAATCCAGCCCTAAACCTTAATTTCATAGTTTAATAAACGAGAGAATGAAGCCAGTAGTTTGCACAATAGGCAGGGGCCATGTATGTCCCCACGGTCCTTCAGGATTTGCCTACCAGAGGAACTTGGCTCTTAACCTGTTTTATTAACTCTGCTTACTCATGAGATTTTTAAAAACAAAAACTGAAATAAGTTTGAAAACCTGAGGATTAGTTTACTTCCCGTGCAAGTACTAACATAATTTCTTCCTTCTTTTGAGCCCCATCTGCCCCGTCCCCCACCGCCCCAAAACGTGGATTTAAATTCCCTCTCCTGGTTCCCTACACCCCTCATTGTTCACCAAGACTCAGAACCCAGATCTCAGCTTTTTTCCCCTTGGTCTCCTTCGCTGCCTTTAGGACATCACCTCTCATTTCTGAGCCAAAGATATCCAGATCTGTCAGTTCAGCCTGACGTCTATTCTGTGCTTTCACTCAGTGTAGGACCTTTCTGTCCCCAACTCCTCCATGAGAAGGAATGAGAAGAAATCACAGTTACCCATCTCAGTAGCAGAAGAATCATCGTGTTGGAAAAATAACAGTAGTGGTGGCCACTGGATGGCTAGAAATACCACCATCATTATTATCTTCTTTTTGCTTGACTGGACCTCTTTTAATGTAATGAACCTCAGCCGGTTTTATAAAAATAATAGTAATTTTAAGCCAAATATGATAAAATAGAAACAAAAATCATCTGGAACTTTTCAGCATTTAAGTGCTTCTTTTTTTTCTAGCCTGCTTTACTTATCCAGGAATATATTCATGAAATTTTGGAACTGGGAAAAATTAAATATCACAAGTTACCAGTTCGCATTTTAAAAGTTTTTGTGCATAAGATGAAACACCTTTTATAATTTATTTAAGCAATCCACTCTTGTTAGATGTTGAGTTGTTTCCAACTAAACTCCTATTGTTGGACATTTTGGTTGCTTCCAACTTGGCCTCGACAAACCAACACAGAGCCAGAATAACTGGATGAAAATGAATTACAGTAAAGGAGAGGGGGGGAAGGAGGAAAATGACTGGAGAAATCCTGGAAACATGGGCTAAATTGCTTTAAAAAATAGAAGTTTTTAAAAATGTCCTTTTGTGCACAAAATTTGCCAATATTGGTAAGAAAAAAGGGGAAAAAAACACAAAACCAACAGTGATTAGAGATTATTCATTTTTTTAATGTTTATTTTTGAGAGAGAGAGAGAGAGAGACAGTGCATGAGTGGGGAGGGGCAGAGAGAGAGAGAGAGACACAGAATTTGAAGCAGGCTCCAGGCTCTGAGCTGCAGCACAGAGCCTGATGCGGGGCTCGAACGCAAAAACGGGAAAGATCATGACCTGAGTCGAAGTCAGACACTCAACGAGCTGAACCACCCAGGTGCCCCATAGATTATTCACTTTCAACCAAATTATTATTATTTTTAGAAATTGGCTCAACTAAGTTGTTACAAACAAAATCACATGCATGTTCCCCCCACCCCCATGCCGGAGCAATGCTTATGCAGCCAATTAGGTTGTTCATGATCATCTAGTGTTATAAACTGCAGGAGGGTTTTTATTAATATGTGCAAGATTGCCTTCTAAACCTCAGTGCCTTTCTCTCAGATCTGGTGGTGGTCCTGACTTGCTCCTGACTGGTCCACCAACAGTGCAACACCTCGCTGGGTCTCATTCCTGGCCCCTCCTCCTCTGCATTGAGCACCAGCCTCGTGGTGGCCTATACAGAAGGGGTAGGAACAGAAGCTTCCTGGGCTCTCGCATCCAGAGCTTGCCTGGTACCTGTGAGAAGTGGAAAACCGTTCTGAAAATAAGTTGTTTCCTCCTGCTCCCAATCCGTCCTCAAAATAGCAAGAAGATGCTGCATAGTTTTCAAATGGAAATGGAAATGGTCACAGCAGCCGGAGGCCGTGGTCAGAGTGTCCACCACATTGGCCTTGACTTTGACAAGCCTTAACCTGTCTTCCTCTAGTCTTCTGAAACAGGACCGAGTTCAGAACGAGAAATGAAAAGAAGACCCGCCACGTGTATTTGTCCATCAGGCCACTATTAGAGTCCTATTTCCAAGGGAGACAAATTTACTTCTGGCACCTGAAGTTGCTTATCTGGTTCCTTAGAGCTGCAGCATTGAATTCACTCCCAGGTATGAATTAAACCATCAAATATTCTTTACATCTGCTGCCAGGAACAAAGGGGAAAACAGCTCAGGTGAGTTCTGCACAATATACTCTATGCTTCAGGAACTCTACAGCCCGTCCTCTCTCTTCCCTAGACAGCATATTATTTTTCTTTTAGAAATGTATGCTTTGGCGGAACCATTTGAAAGTTTCAGACATCATGACACTCCCCCCTAAATACTTCGGCGACCATCTACCACAAAGGACATCCTCCAGCACCAGAGCAGTGTTATCACACAGGGGAAAGCTAACATTAATTTAATAATATCTGACTACAGTCCATATTCAAATACCATAAGAGTCTTTGATAAAATTTATCACTTAAAAACATTTCATCCCACAGCTGTGGCTTATCACTGCCTTTGGTTGTTACGTCTTTGCAGCCTCAACAAATTTTAACTTAGAGTAGTCCCTCTGGCTTTTGGTTTTGTCTTGTCTGTTTTACATTACTTGATTAAAATTTTTTTTTAAGTTTTGAGAGAGAGAGAAAGAGAGAGAGACCAAGCATGAGCAGGGGAGGGACAGAGAGGGGGAGACAGAAGATCCAAAGCAGGCTCCACACTGTGAACACAGGACCCGATGTGGGGCTCGAACTCACAACTGTGAAACCATGACCTGAGCCAAAATCAAGAGTCGGCCGCTTGACTCACTGAACCACCCAGGCACCCCTGACTTGAATTTTTTTTTTACTCACACCAATTGTCTTGTAGAATTTCCCACATCCTAGATTTGTCTGGCCATTCCCTGATGACTAGATTCAGGTGAAACATTTTGGGCTAGACGTCTGTCGAGCGATGGAGGCTGTGTTCTTTCTGGATCATATCAGAAGGCAGGTGACGTTTACACTGCCCCGATGCTAAGTTTGACCACTCTGTAGGCAACTCCTTTTTACAACATAAAATTAAACCACACATGAACAAGTCTATATTTTCTAATTACTTCCCTGCGATGAAAGCCCAGCACATCTTTCAAAACAATCTTCATGCACAGCAGCTTTTGTGATTTAAAAAAAAAGAAAAATTCAGCCCCAAGTCACGAGGCTTCTCCTTTTCTGTGAAGCGGGTGTTTGAAAAGCCTGTGAGCTAACACTGGTTATCTTTCACAGAATCTGGAATTTCTTCTACCAAGACCAAAGCCAAACCAAGCAACAGCAGCACCTTGCAAACCGAAAAACCCAGTCTTCACAAGCTATGAGTTTTCAAGCCAAGGTTCCAAACTGAGGACAGGAGGCAGTGGGTTTGCACGTGTGGCCTCTGTCCTTGGTCCAAAGGGTCGTGGGCCACCTCGCCCAGGCTCCCCTCACTCACATGACGGGAATCCTGCACCCGCTGCCGGGCAAGCCCCACCGGGAGACCCAGAGCTGGGTGCTGCTTCTGTTTGGGAAATCAGTTTAGGGGCACCGGGGTAGTTCAGTCGGTTAAAGGTCGGTTCTTGATTTTGGTGCAGGTCATGATCTCACAGTTTGTGGGTTCGAGCCCCGCATCGGGAGCTCTGCTGTGAGCACAGAGCCTGCTTCAGATATTCTGTCCCCCCTTCTCTCTGCCCCTACCCCGCTCATTCACTCTCTCAAAAATAAATAAACATGAAAAAAGAAAAAAAAGAAATCCTGCCAGCTGAGAAACAAGGTAACTTCTAGATCCAGAACAGTCTATGGGCTTGCACCCAGCTGTTGTCTTTGTACTAAGAAGAACTGGAGGGTGTGAGAGGAAAAGGAGATTTTTTTAATGCACTTTGAAATGGCTAGAATCCTTGTTGAAATTTTAGACGTAAAGAACCATTTTCAGGAAGAGAAGTAATTTGTCTGAATCAGTGTGAGTGTGTCTTATGATTTTGAGTTTGATGAGAGATTCTGATGACCGACTATACAGAGGAGACGGTTTCTGTTTGGGCGGAAATCTCCAGACTTCCAGCATCTTTTCCTAAATGCAGACCTAGTTCTGTCAAACCTGATGGATATTTCAGACTGCACAGCTTCTTATCACTGGTTTTCATTTTGGGGAGATGCCTAGCTGATAAGAAAATGGGTGGAACATCTAATCAATAATAATGACATAAATCTTCTCTGGCTGTATAAATAAAGCTGCTTTTACGTGAACGGTATTTTCAACCTCTGGCAGCAGCAACTTTAGCAAATACCCTTTTGGGAAATACCCCCCAATAAATATTACATTTGAAAAGAGTTTTGTGAACCGAAGACTCCCCGCATGAAGTCACAGAAGGCAGATCTTATTTAAAATCGATTTTCAGCTGCCACTTCTGGTTGCAAGGTATTGAATTGTTCTACTAATTAAACTTGAAGTTCACCTTTCAATTATGAAGCCAGCTGCAGAACCCAAGGACGGGCAGGTAGAAGTGAAACGATGAGCAGTCATGTTGAAACTAAGACATCCTTTGCTCCATCATCTGTGGGCACAAGAACTTTCTGTCCTTTGGAAATGCCCCTGGTATAGAAATCTCAAAGCATCACAGGGGTGTGCCTAGGGAGAGAGAGAAAACAAGAGAGGGAGAGAGAGACTCTTCTTTTACTGCATTTCCCTTTATTTTCTAATATGACATGAGAAAACGGTCTTCCTGTGACAGAATAAATTAAAGAAGCTTGTGTTTACTCTCTTCGGTGTTGACTCTCAGGGAAGTTGAATGGAGTGGTGGTAAATAACTATATAATTGAAATCGCCCTGCTTTCTTATTACCCTAGAAGGAGACTGTTGCGTACAGGCTTCAGATTTATTGAGACAGATTACACCCCTGGGTGTAAATCACTTTGTAAAAGTAAGTCAGGCAGTTTCCATAACTCCCTTAGGTGTCTGGGGTACAGTTGAATACCCTCAGCCATAATTTCCTATTAAAGGGGACCCTCGGGGTGACTTTCCTGGGGAATCGTCTTCTCATTGGGAGATTCACTCATTATGCTACTATGAACAAACCTCCCCATCTTCTCTCTGCCCGGCCCATCTCTTGCTTATATGTCCAAATGGGGAATGTCCAGGCTCAGGTTTGGAAGGCAGAAAGTCGCGTCTTGTGTTTCTGGGACAAGGAGATACTATCTGCTGTCTGGAACACGAGGAGAGGCCCCACGAAGGACACCGTCTCTCCCAGTCCTGGTTCCAGCAGGACTTGCCCCCCTTCAACCAGCCGGCCTTTATTTAGAAAGGCCAGCCTGGGACCTTGGCACTCGGTTTCATTCGGAGGTTTTCAACATCAGGCGCTGTTTCCTTAAGGTATTTCTCAACGACTGTCTCTCTAAAGCACTTAATTTGCATTTTTGTTTGATTTAGGATATGGCCATGTTTTACATGTTTCAAATTCTATTTCTGATTTGCAAAAATAATAACCAAGTGGTCTCCTAATCCTTAAAGCTTAAAAGGAAGAAGTAGAGTATGGGGGCGGGGGTGGGGATGATAAGAGTTGAATATGGCTTGAGTTTATTTAAAATTTAATTGCTTTTGGCCTTTGTAATTTTGTTCCTCTTTCCCAGACAATGACAAGAGTTCCACAAACAATGCCAGTCCGTGGAACCTAATATGCAAGAGAGGATTTGGGTGGTTCAAGGTGAAATTAAATCACCTGCATGGGTAGGTGCATTATAAGCAGTCTCCAAGCTTCGTTCTCGATTTTCTAGTTTCTGGTTTCCTTCTGCTGCCACCGTGGTGCAATTCTGCTCCATCGGTGGCCAGTGGTTCAATTGCCACCCTGATGACCAATCTCCTAATAGCTTTGTAATCCTTCTTTCACACCCACATTTTCCCATTTCATTATTAAGTCAACAGGATTTAGGCAGCCTTTCTCCCGTGCCTCTTTTCCTCTTCTCACGGCTCTACTGTTTTACTTTTCAATTTAATTTCTCCTTTCTAGCAGTTTCTCATTATGTAATTCAGAGACTAAGGGTGTAGAAGACTACTCAAGCGAGCACACGTGTTCACATTTTTATTTAAAAGTCCTACGAGACACTTCCTTAAGCAACAGTAGAGGGGTATGTTTGTTAAGAGTTGCAAATTGTCCTGAGATGCTTTAGAAACTTGGCCTTTAAAAAACAAATTTAATATGTTTTTAAATTTGTTTATGTTGAGAGAGAGACAGAGAGCATGAGTGGAGGAGACAGAGAGAGAGAGAGAGAGAGACAAAATCTGAAGCAGGCTCCAGGCTCTGAGCTGTCAGCACAGAGCCTAGCATGGGGCTTGCACCCACAAATTGGGAGATCATGACCTGAGCCAAAGTCAGACACTTAACCGACTGAGTCACCCAGGTGCCCCAGGAAAACTGGTCTTGATTATAATGGAGATGTTTAAGAAAGTAGCAAAAGGTCCAGAAAATGAAGCTCCAAATCAAGCCCTGATTTGTAAATTTGTCCAAATCATCCCTGCACAGAGCAGTAGCCCTGGAAACCCCGCCCTGTCCGGCCCCCTCTCAGGAGGTGCGCAAGCCTGGGACAGTCTGTGGACCGAGCACCTGCCGGAAGCTCTCCTCCTCCTGTGGTTGGCTGACTGTGCTGGAGCCCACAGAGGAGGTGAGGGGCCCAGCCAGGGAGGCAAAAAGATGCCCACTCATCAAGAACATTTTCCGGAGAGACAAATCAGAAAGCAGGAGTAGCATCGGCCACACGTCCACCAAGATGAGAAGAAATCCAAGAAGCCAGACACACCCAAGGCGGTAGCAATTTAGAAATATCACTTCCGGGTTTATGGGGAAGAGTGGGGTGCACACATGTATTGGATTTGTCAGATGGAAAATGTACATATATACGTGAACACATATGTGTACATGTGCACACACATATACACGTGGATGTTCTAACTTTGGCAGCAAGGCCTTCAGGCCTAAGCATAGAACTCTGGCATCACATTGAGGGCTCCTGGCAAGTGGCCCCTAAGGGTGTTCCCACAGCTTCTCATGTGTCCAGTGTGAACCTGCTGGCCACAGACTACTTACGAAGTTCTCAAGTTATACTCTGTTGAATCTCAGCTCCATAGCTCGCTAACCTCGGTTTCCTCATCTATAAAGTGGATATAACGTTATATTGGGTAGGCTGCATTAGCAACCTCATCAAAAGAGAAAACACATATAATAGACTTAACAACTAGAAAACACTCAACAAATGGCTAGTTATCATTACTTATTATTATATTCCCTTCTTAACCTTTGTAATTGATAACAATAGAATTATAAGTCAAGGGAGGCACCTGGATGGCTCAGCTGGTTAAGCATCTGACTTCTGCTCAAGTCATGATTTCACTGTTTGTGGGTTCAGGCCCCACTTTGGGCTCTGTGCTGACAGCTCAGAGCCTGGAGCTTGCTTTGAATTCTGTGTCTTCCCTTCTCTCTGCCCCGCCCCTGATCGTGTTCTGTGTGTCTCTCTCTCTCACACAAGTAAACATTAAACAAAACAAACAAACAAACAGAAAAAGAATTTTAAGTGGGAATTTTCTGTCTAATATACAGAGGCTCTGTGACCTAGGATTTTCTCTACATTCTTTATTCTTAGTTAAATGCAATAGAACATGGAAATATAACTAAACATCAGTTATTACATGACCAAAACTCCAGGGCAAACTTTTGGATAGTCGTAAAACTGTTGCCAGCTATGAATAAAAATGTCCTTAAGACTTGTAAAGGTTTGGCAATTCCTTAGAAAAAGATCACAATCGGGGTGCCTGGGTGGCTCAGTCAGTTAAGAAAAAGATCACAATTTTCAAGTATATTTCCACAATGTAAATGTCAGATACTCAATGCACGTGTTTTAAATATAAAAAGGTAAGTTGAGAAGTCAAGAATAACTAGATAATATCATAAGTTTTTCTTTTACAAAGGTCCATCGGTTCTGAAAAGTGTGCAGGCCGGTTTTTCTCAATCTCCGGGAGGTTAAGACTTTCCAAGGGATTCATAAGACCCAGATTTGGGACCAGACTGATTCCCGGGGTGGTGGTGGCTGAGGGCCGTGTGCTTATAACCGGTCTTCAAGGTCAATCTGCTCACTGGGGTGGTTAGGAAGGCATGTTTACATGGTGTGACCACTCTCCGGGCTCAAAACTCCCAGAAATCAAGGACTTAGAGATCTGTTTGCAATGCTCCAGACCTGGCAATATGATTTCAGCAGTTCTTTGCCCTATTTGCTTGCATTTTTAACTAAAATGATTTTTTCTGATTTAAAAAGTTAGACGAAAATATAGGAAATACATGTGGTGCCTGGGTGGCTCAGTCGGTTAAGTGTCCAACTCTTCATTTCAGCTCAGGTCATGATCTCATGGTTCATGAGTTTGAGCCCCAAATTGGGCTCTGTGCTTCAGCACAGAGCCTGCTTGGGATTCTCTCTCTCCCTCTCTCTGCCCCTTCCCTGCTCATGGACTCTCTCTCTCGCAAAAGAAAAAAAGAAAAAGAAAATATAAGAAGTACAAATGAGTTGAAGGAAATTGTTATAAAGTCATTCACAACCCAGATATACTACTGTCAACATTTTAATGCTTTTAAAATTCTTGTTAAAACACATACATATGTATAGTATATGATTATTATACATTTTATTTTTCAAAAATGGAAATATGCTGCGTGTACTATTTATAGCCTGCTTATTTTTCCTTAATAGTATATTATGAACTTTTTTGCATATGATTAAATGCTTTTAGCACCTTTTCATGATTATATATCATTCCATCTTATGAGAGGTCCGTCATCTAGTTAACCATGTGAGTTTTCCCAGCCTTTTCCTCTTTTAAATAATATCATGTGTGTGTACTTATGTACTTACGTACCATCTTTGTTCCTGAGCTTTCTGGCTTTTTTATTTCTTTCTGCGTGTTGTGTGTTGAAGCACTTGGCTGGCAGAGATGTTGCCCAGAGAAGCCAAGTATATGGTTTATCTCACCAGTAAGTGACTGGGGACTAAGAATGATCTCAGGAACCCACACACACTGATTTTACAGATAAAATGAAGGCCTAGAGAAGCTAAGAAACTTGCAGAAAGCATCCTGGCAAAGGCTGCATGAATGCAAAGCACAGACCGGAGTCTGGAATACCACGATTCTCATTTCATGCTCTTTCCACCCCCGCCCGGATCATAACCCACAGTGCCCTGAAGAGTGATATTCTCGGGGTCCTGCAAATGCAAGTCATATAAATGTGTGTGTGTGTGTGTGTATACACACACATATGTGTGCATATATCACACATATAAATTTGTATACATGCACACACATACACATATATATTCTAATTTAGAAAGAATTAAGTGTAATCTACAATTAGTTTATTAGTTAATTTTTAAAAATTTATTGATCTTTGAGAGAGAGAGAGAGAGAGTTTGTATGCCCACCAGCAGGGGAGGGGCAGAGGGAGAGAGAAAGAGAGAAAGAATCCCAAGCAGGCTCCACGCTATCAGCACAAAGCCCGTCTTGGGGCTCGATCTCACAAAACGTGAGATCATAACCTGAGTCAAAATCAAGAGTCAATTGCTTAACCAACTGAGCCACCCTGGTGCCCCTATTTCATGAGTTAATTTTTTTTTTCATTTTTTAAATATTTATTTTTGAGAGAGAGAGAGACAGAGTGCAAACAGAGGAGGGGCAGAGAGAGAAAGAGACACAGAATCTGAAGCAAGCTTCAGGCTCTGAGCTGTCAGCACAGAGACCGATGCAGGGCTTGAACTCAGGAACCACAAGTTCATGATCTGAACTGAAGTCAGATGCTTAACCAACTGAGCCACATCAGTTCTCACTACAGTATTATAGCATGAATAATTCTAAGCTTATCATTCATGTCTGTGAAAAATTTTCCAGAAGAGACAGGTGCAGGCAGGTCAGCCCCCAGGGCCCTGGGTCTCCAAGTACTCAGTGCATGAAGTGCCACTGAGGGTGAAACCCAGTGCCATCGCACTGGAGCCCAGGCACAGACCTGTCCTCTGACTTTCCTCCTGCCCTGCCGTCAACTCTTGGGAAACGTGAGAAGACACCACAACAAAAGTTTATCCAAAAGCCAACGAAGCAATGAAGCAGCCAAACCTTGGTGGCTTTTCACAAGTGTCGGTGCCTTTAATATTGCTGTCCCGGGCTCACAGACTGTAACGATCACAAAAATATGCTTTGAAGCCCAAGATGACGATCTTACATAATTGCAGTGTTGCCAGTGTTCAGAAAGTTGCCAACATCCCCCGGTCTCAGCCTCAGGCGTGGTGTTACAAAGCAGACGCCCCTTTTAGCTGAGACTCTTTTTTGGGGTGCACAGCCTCCTCCTCTCAGTCTGAGCAGCCACATTTATATGCAGGGGGATTTTCCAAACGATCCCAGGGGCGAGTCGGGTTCGTATTTCCCTCTGGCTCAGCCTGAGTGTAGAACCAGCACCAACATGACTTCAGCAGGGTGGACAAGCCTGGTGACATCATTTCTCCATGTCAGCTGAGACTTTAGCTGGTGTTTAGTCGTGTTGCTGCATCGAGAAAATAAACCAGCACTCTGGGACTTGGAGTAGGCAGATCGTAGAAGTCTCAATTGCTTTTAGATCTTTGCAGTTCTAAAATTGCAAGCCTGGGATTTTTCAAATACCTAATAATACAGTAGTATTTTACATAATTGCCTTCCCTAACATT